TGTTGGTTTTGTTGTTGTTGTTGGTGAAGGAGTTGTTGGTTTTGGTGTTGTTGGTTTTAGTGTAGTTGGGCCTGGAGTTGTTACTGGTGGTAAAGGAGTTGTTGGCTGAGCTGTAAGTGAAACATTAATCACTACTCATGAACCCATGCGTCATTAGCACAACAAATATGTATTATGTGAGTAACTTGATTTCCCTTTGGTCAGTTTCTCACCTTTGCAGGCCATGATACACACAGCATCAACAGCAATATCTGTCTCAGGAGTTTCTCCATAGGTACCAACAATCACAAACTGAAATACACATAAATGTGAAATATAAGTTAATGTAAACCACTACACATTTATAGTACACACATACAAAGACAGTTCTAGTACTTACTTGAATAGCAGCTGTTCCCAGGTATTGGACTTCTGCAGGCTTCCAGCTTTGACCTTGGTTGCCCTTGACTGTGAAAAGTGCAGGTCCAAGGCTTCCACCTGATAGACAGAAAAACACATGTGATCCAAATATACATTTTTGTCCTGTCTGTGTTTCTGTCTGTATATTATCATTATGATAAATGCCGTCTTTACCTGGGGTAATAGTATGGACACTGAGCTCCATTGTGGTGCTGGTACCATACATGTAGTAGTGGAAGATGAGGTTCAGACATTCAGAAGAGGGGGTTACTAGAGGACTTCTGATCTGAGCACTGACTCCAGGAACAGCATCAAAAGAATCCAGCAACATGTATAAACCCACTACAGAGTGCAGGGTAAAAAAAAAAAAAAAACTATGTAATGTAATGTAAGGTGAAAGTTTTTTCACACACATTCAGATTATATCTTCAGGACTCATTTTGTGCCCTTAATTTTCTTTCATATACTACATATAATTGTACCATTCTGGCAGTCTCTGTGACACACTGATTTTCTCACAGACTTTGGAAAAAAATAGTTACTTACATCCAGGTTTGGAGAAGTCATCTTTAGGGCCAGTGCCTTCAGTGGATGTTGGTCCATTCCACTGACCAAAGCCAAAATCATCAGGATTCTCAGTTTCAGTCGTCCACCCACACAAGTTATCCATAGTGTCAAAATCACAGCCAGAAACACAAGCTGTGGACAGAGTATGTAGACAGTCAGTGATACAGCTATATTTGTGTGTGTGTGTGTGTGCATGTGTGCAGAGAGGTGTGAGAGAAAACTCACATGGACATGCTCCTTCAGTAATGACAATGTTGTCCAGAGCTGAGTCACAGGAATCAGTGAGGCCTCTCTGAGCCTCAAACACTATCTATAGATACAAGAAGAAGATGTTATCAACCTACATGGTAACATAAAGAAAGCCACTGTTTGTAGAGGTTACAAACAGGAAAACAAAAGGTTCAGCAACACTTGCAGTGTTTGGAGCAACTTTTATGTAAAGGCCAATGCATTTCAGCAAGGAGCCTTTGTCAGGGTCTGTTAACGTTGCTCCTGTCACTGCAATTGTCACTGGACTTTCTGTTTTCCAGTTTGTTTTTCATTTATATATGCAAAAGTATTCATACCCCTTGAATTTTTCCACTACTAATTATGTGACTTCTGAAGGCATTTGGTTGCACTGGATTTTATTTAGGGATATGAGAGTAAAGGGGCTGAATACATATGCACGCCACACTTTTCAGATTTTTATTTGTAAAAAATCTTGAACACCATGTATCATTTTCCTTCCACTTCATAATTATACAGTACTTTGTGTTGGTCTATCACATAAAATCCCAATAAAATACATTTAAGTTTGTGGTTGTAATGTGACAAAATGTAGAAAAATTCAAGGGGTATGAATGCTTTTGCAAGGCACTGTATATACATAGCCAATTTTCTGGATAGCTGTTTAAAATTTGCACTAAAGTTGAGTGACAACAATGTTTAGTCCTAATGGTGTCCTGAAAGAATGGTAACATTCATTCATTCATTCATTTTCTACCGCTTAGTCCCTGAGCGGGGTCACGGGTGGGGCCGGAGCCAATCTCGGCCGGCAAGCGGG